TCTTGAGTGTGCTTATTCCCAAAATGCCACAACTACATGGGATTTGGATCTTTGGAATTAATAAGTATTGAAAGAGTTTAAAACTGAACAAAAAAATTTTACAGCTACTGAGTTTCCTATAAGGAAGGAGTAGTTAGCAAGCTCCACTGTTTCTGTGCTAATGTGAAATGAGAGATATTTTCATGGGAGGACCAGTTGCTGGTTTTTCATATGCTGCCTTGAAGTGCAGAATTCTAAAAGATGCCTCTGTTTAAAGCATCTGGTACATTTTTGAAGAGAAGCTTTATTGGCAAGCTGGGCAGGCCCAGCTTATAAATTAATGGCAGTACAGTGAGAGTGTAGTAGATGATAATCCAAGGAAATATAAGATTTGTAAGAAAATAGGACCAACTTAAAGTGAATAGGCATTATGTTACAAAGACAATTTCCAATCAGTCATAGTCAGTTTAAGGAGGCTTACATGTGAACAAGAATCATCTCTATACATGTTTATTAGATTGTTTTTATTATCATACATGTTCCTCTTACATAAGAGGGTTTATGCCCTCTTGTTTCTATAAGCCAGTTCCTACCTTGTAAGTATGCCTTTTGGTTTTGCTGGCTAAATATTGTGTTGATAGATAAGGTCAGTTTTGCATACATTGCATTACAGCATTCATGAAGGTCTGTTGTTCATCATGACTGGGGATAGAAGATACCAGGTACCTTACAGGCAGCCTCTGAGTCAGCATTCTAATTTTGGAACAAAGTGGGTTTATATTGCTTTTTTTTTTTTTTTTTTTTTTTTTTTTTTTTGTGGAACCGGGGATTGAACTCAGGACCTTGTACTTGCCAGGTAAGCACTTATTCCCCAGCCTTGCCTTTCTATATATAAAGCTGCTAAATCAATTAAGAAACTAATTTATTTCAGCAGTTAAAGTACATGGTAGTTTAAAGGTACTTGGATTGAGCAACTTAACTGGTAAAGCTATCATTCTTTAAGAAGGAAATATCAAATAACTATAGCCACCTGTGGTTGCAGAAACTGCTTCTCTAGCAGTTTTTTTTTTTTTTTTTTTGGTTTGGTGTAAGATTATTCAAGATTAGCAATAGTACCAAAAGACATAATAGAGTCCTTTTTTTTAGCAAGTCTACAGTAAAAGATGACATTGACTTCTTTTATTTCTCCTGCTGTCAAGTTTCATAGTTTCCCATTAATATTTTGCCTTTAAATATGTGGGTCTTAGCATAGATGCTACCAAATAGTAATTACTTCCAGCAGTGACCATGTTAAGTTTTTGTGACTTAAGGAACTTTCCTATGATTGTTAATATTAATTGTAAGAAATAACTGTATACCACTTAGAAAAATAAACACATCCAACAAACAACATTCTGACATAGAATGATTGAAAAACTCAGTCACATGTATAAACAAAATTGAATGAAAAGAGTTATAGATCAACTTTAAAGTCAATTTGTGTCAATAAATTTAGGAACAGTTATCATTGTTTTATATCTCAAAAGTATAGACTTTAGAAATCAGTTGTACGACACAAAGTTGTCTTTGTACATTTGTCATTTCCCATGTATTTTTAAATAATTGGTAATCTATACTTTAATAAAATTTTTGTTTGGTGTAAGATTATTCCAAAAGCTTTCAAAATACACCAAAACTATACTGACATTTTTAAATTGTTTTTAAAGAACTGAATTTGTGCTCAGTAGAATAAGCACTTGCCTGGCAAGTGCGGGGTCCTGAGTTCAATTCCCGGCACTGCAAAAAAAAAAAAAAAAAAAAAAACTGAATTTGTAAAATTAAATCACCAAAAATGTTCCTTTGTCTAACTTTTGCATTTCTTATTTTTAAACAGTATCTTGTTATGTAGTCCAAGGTGTACTGGAACTTATATGCAGCTCAGGCTGGCTATGAACTTATACTCTTTCTTCCCCAGCCTCCTAAGAGTATCTTACTTCATTTTAAAGTTTATCTCAAAAGGCTTACATTTTCTATACATACCTCAGAGATGTAAATTGATTCTTATGTTTTCTGCTGTTTGGTCTCACTGTTTTAAAAATACTTAATAGATATGTAAGGACTTGCCCAATTGAGGTTTTAAAGACAATTTGTGTACAAAACAAGTCATTTTGCTCCCTGGAGATACCAACATTAAAATAAATGAATAGACAAAAATAAATAAGCTAAAAAGAACTTACCAATGTCACCATGCTAAGGCAAACTGTTACTAATATGATAAATACTGCACGGTGGTAGGAATCATATGAGAACCCACTCCACTAGCTTCCAACTCTATTCATTTCTATTTTCACAGTCATTGTTATTTCAGGCTTTCTGTGTGTTGTGGAAATAATGAATTTTTCTAACTAATGCATTGAGTAGGTTTCAAAATGCTGCTCTTGTCAACATTTTTGAATTTAACAAAAGAAATACTATGTTTTCAAGAAAAAAATGCTGCTCTTTGTTACAACCTGAGTCTCCTTAACATCCATATATCCTCCAAAGAGTTCCTGGTATCACTGAACATGAAGATTTGAAGATAAATTCTTGAAGCGGTGATTATATGAAAATGAGATCATTGGGAAGGATCTCAATCATTTGTAACTGGTGTGTGTGTGTGTGTATGTGTGTGTGTGTGTGTGTGTGTGTGTGTGTGTGTTTAGTACAGGGTCTACAGGGTCTCACTATGTAGATTGGACTTGTAGTGATCCACCTGTGTTCAGCCACCCAAGTGCTGGGATTACAGGCACATGCCACCAGTCCAGTCTCAATTGCTGTCTCAGTACACCCCGGGGGCAGAGCTGGCACTGCACAGGGGGATCGAACCCTGGCCATGTCTGCCTAAGCAGGCACTTTAATCCACTGAGCTATTTGGCCGGCCCTGTAACTGGTATCTTCTCAATAAAAGAGATTTAGGATAGAATAACAGATGCAGAAAAAAAGACCATGAGGGAAAACAAAGAGAAGACTCAGGAGAAATGAACCCCGCTGACACCCTAATCTCAGATTTACAATCAGGAATTATATGAAAATAAATATCTGTGGTTAAGCCAGACACTAATAAACTATGAAGCTCACTCACATATCAGATGCTTTTATAAAAGAGGAAAGAGAAGCTCAAAGAGCTTTCTGGGAGCTGTTTTAAGCCTTGACTGAGAACCTACCTACATTACAACAGGAAACAACTGGATATTTTTACCCTTACCACTCAGCCACTACTACTCAGCAATGCTTTTGCTGGATTGTCTCCATCTGTGTTGATTGGCTGTATTTTTGGCTATATTTTGGAAGAGAATCTCATCAAGTTGTCCAGGCCACCCTCACACTTGAGCTCCTCCAGCCTCAGCCTCCCAGGTCACTGGGATTTCATACCTGTGCCATAACCCTTGTTTTACACATATCTCACCAGGAGGCAAGTAGGAGTTGCTAGCCCATTTGTACATGGAAACTTCAAGTTTAAAGATATTAAATGATTGGCCAGTCACAGATTAGAAGTGGCAAGTCTGGAACAGGATTTAGGTCAGTCCAGCCAGGTGACCCAGCACCTCTCTCCTTTCCCAGTGGCTTGTCACTTGTTTAGACACACTAACTGTTCCTGCAAGAGGTGAATTATATAACAATTACTACAGCTGTCATTTATTGGGCTCTTACAAGGTCCAAGCACCATGCTAAGCATTTCATCTCCATTTTCCTGCAATCTTACCTACAATCCACTTTCATAGAGCACTCAAATTCAGAGTAAGTAATGACTCACTCAAGGGATCCAAGTGTTTATAGAGCCCAGGACAGGGGATCATGTCTAGGATAGACCCACATGTTAACCCTCTGCCCCATAGAGACCCCAAGGGCAACCTCACACCAGGACCCAGCACCATGGCAATTGCAAGGTACTATTCTCAGGTACTCTCCCTGAACTTCTAGCAAGACTTCTGCCATCTGAGGGGAGACCACTATCTGGCACCAGTACACTCCTGCATCCTGCAGCTGGACACTAGGCAGCTGCAGTGATGCATCACCCAACTGCAGCCTCTCTTGAGACAGCTTGGCCCCAGGTCACCTGACATGTTTACTATCACCATATAACTCAAACACCTTGTTTTCTGCTTCAGATCTGTGATCCTGCAGATACCACCTAATGCCCACAGTACTGGAGTCCAGCAATGGGAAGCCAGGGACTTTGCAGATGGTGACATTGTTGTTCAGCAATACCATATGCTTCCCTCCTTGCATCACCACTTCCATAAAACCTGTGACAAGAACACAATCTGTTACAGGAATCACTGGTGTCTCAAACACCCCCATAATCTATTCCTTCTGAGGTAAATGTGAGAGGACTCAGGACAGAGGCTCTCTGTTCATAGCCCTTATTCATCCTCTAAGATCCCTATGTTCTTCTTCAAGATTAATTTGGCTGTTGAGGTCCCTTGTGATTCCACATCAATTTCAGAATCAGCTTATCAATTTCTACCAAGTTATCAGCTCAGACTGTGATAGGAATTGCACTGAATCTCTTGATTAAATTGGGACACTGCCATCTTCACAATGTTACCACTTTCACCCATGAATGCATATGTGGCTTGTGCTGTGGACTCAGTGTTTTTGTCCTCCCAATATGTTATCTATTGAACCCTACTTCCCAATGTGATAGTGTTGGACACAGGGCCTCTGGGAAGTGAGGAGGTCTAAGGGTAGAGCCCACTGAATGGGATTAGTGCCCTTATGACAGGAGAGGTGGAAAGATCTCTAACTCTGCTCTGCAAAGACACAGCAGGAGATTTCCTGCAATCCAGAATGGGGCCCTCACCTGAGACCCCATCAGCCTGCACCTTCCTCTCATGCTTCCTGGCCTCCACAATGGTGAGAAACAAATCTGTTAAAGCTAACCAGCCTTTGGCATTTGCTATGCCAGCCTGAGAGCATGAAGACAGGATGAATTTTCTTTTTCTTTTCTTTTCTTTTTTTTTTTTTTTTTTTTTTTTTTTTTTTTTTTTTTTTGGCAGAACTGGGGATTGAACTCAAGCCCTTGCACTTGCCAGGCAAGCACTTATTCTACTGAGCTATCTCCCTGGCCCAGAATTTTCTATTAACTTGTTTAGACCTTAAATTTTCTTGTACATGTCTTACACATCTCAGAGTATGATCACGGGTCACTGAATGACCTGAAATGAGAACTGTCCTTAGCTGGTTTCCTCACTGTCTGAGCATCACTAAATGAACTTCTCATAAACCTAAATGGATTGGTCAGCCACTCACTGTGGTTCTTAATGAGCTCAAGAAACACCATGACACCAGTCCCTGAAGCTACTGCCTGCATCACATTTTATGGGACACCACTTTAAAAAATAATGTACAAAAAGTATACTCTAACATGATATAAAAAGTATAAAATAAAAAATATATTTATTAGGGTCATTTATTCTCATTATTACATCTATTCACAATTGCATGGGCTGAACTTTCACACAACTAGCAGCACAGTAGTTTTCTTTACATCCATAATAGCATCAACACATGAGTAGTGTGCTGCATTACAAGGGAGTTGGGGGATGGGTCATGTTGTGAGGTGGACTACAAGAGGAGTAGGGGTTGAGTGGGAGTGCAGAACTGTGGGATGATGGTGGGCATAGGGCTGGAAGTGAGGAAATAGGGGCAGAAAACTGCAACAGGCAGGTTTGTGAAGGTTGGAAGGAGGGGGGAGTGAGTGGACTTTGGGTTGGGTTGGTTAGGTGGGGACCTGGTATGGGAGATGAGGGAGGAGTTGTGAATGTAGGAGGGCTGGTGAAGCCTCAGGTAGGGGATGGGAGTGTACCCTTAAGGCTGGATTGGTATGTGGGGGTTGCAGGGGTGGACTGGGTGCATTGCTGAAGGATGGGGGATGGCCCCCCAAGATACACAAGCTGCCAAGTTTTCCAGGTGAAAACATTCTTTCCCCTATTACAGGTGTTCCCCAGTGCTTTTTCCATATCCTCAAACTTTTATGAATACCCCAAACTCTCACCCTCATTTTTCTCCTGGAAATCACAGCCTACTTGGGCCAGTATGAATCTATCTATCTTTCTTTCTTTCTTTCTTTCTTTCTTTCTTTCTTTCTTTCTTTCTTTCTTTCTTTCTTTTTACTGAGAATCAAACTCCAGATCCTGTGCTTGCCAGGTAGCAACTTGTGCCAACGAGCTCAATGAGCTGCATCTCCAGCCCAGTGCTTGTCTTTTCTAAATTCCTCAAAGTAGCTCAAGGTGATGGGGGTGGGGGGACACACCTGTAATCCCAGCACTTGGGAGGCTGATCTGAGTATCACTGGGCCATTAAGACAACCCTAGGCTACATAGTGAGGTCAAGATCAGCCTGGGCTACACAGTGAGACCTCACCTCTAAACAAAAACACAAACAAACCAAAGTCCAGAAAATAAAGGGGCTCACAGTCAGGTCACCCTAAGGTAATGCCCTCCATCTCTCTCCATAAGACCTCAGTAAAGAGAACTTTTCTTATTCCACATGTTTGTTTCCTTGGGGATCCCAACAGGAAGGAGGAAGACAGGGAGGGGAAGCCCTGACAAGAAAGCTGCCCTGCCTGTCACAGCCTTATGTCCTGGTTACATCTCATCCAGTCCCCTCCACCCATGAGCTCTTGCCCGCAGTCCTCAGCATTCTGCAAAGAAGCAGTAGTAGCCATGGTAACTGCACCAAAGCCCCAGGCAGACTGTGAGGCTGTGGGCCATGCCACCAGCAGTGCCGGTTCCTCCAGGTCTGCCCAGCCCACAAGCGGCTGAGAGGTTCTGCTGGCAGAGGAGGTCATTAAGGCTGCTTTCTAATCTTAGATTAGAAGATTTAAAAGGATGCCACTGTTATGGGTTAACTGAATTTTGTGCTTTACCTGTGGAAAATTGCTAGGGGAAACCTTGTGTTTCCCATTATCTACTCTAAGAAATGTATTCTCCCTCTCTGCTCAAGGCTGTTTAGCAGTGAGTAACTGTTTCTTGTCAAGGCGGCAAACTAAAACAAACTCTCTCCCTAACCATCTCCTGTAAGCATAGTCAGCTTACCATGTATCTTATAAAAATATGCACTTATTGCTAAGCTGTAAAAGACCCCTTAGTTACAGTTTGCAGCTGTGTCAAATAAATGTAGGTTTCTGTTGTTCTGTGCTAGATAACAAATTTGATTACCAAACAGGATTTGATTTTTGTTATAAATATCCCCTGTCACCTGGGCTCAGGGTCGCTCAGTCTTCTCCTGCATGTGAACTGGCTGACCACCCTGAGCTCAAAAAATAAAAGGCTTTATATTCAAATTCCAGTGCCGGACAAATAGCTCAGCAGATTAAAGTGCCTGCAAGCAGGTGCAGGGCCCAAAGGTTCCATCCCAGGCCTGCTGTGCCAGCCCCACCCAGAGATGCAATGAGATGGCAATTGGGACTGGGCATGGTGGCATGTGCCTGTAATCCCAGCTCTTTGACAGCTGTAAACAGGTGGTCATTACGATCTAGTAGTGAGACCCTGAACACCCTGTAAACCCTTCCCTAAAATTAAAAAAAAAAAAAAGCCAATCTGGCTGATCTGGTTCCTATTCTGAGCTGACCCATAACAGTCTCCCTGGCAGACTGGACCCACCCTTTCTCAACAACACTTTAATTGACCCAGGCTTTTCCGAGAAGTCTTGAGGGCTACCCACAGATAGAACCTATTTTGCAAGCCCAGGGTGGGAGGGCCTAGAAGCACAGGTGAATTAGTAGATAGAGATGTAGTCTCCCCACAATCCAAAATCCCAAATCCCAGATTGGAGTCCCTGGACTTGAAACTCACATGGTCCTTAGGTGGAGGTGGGAGTTCATGTATTATTTAACACATAAAACTTACATTACTTCTACCCCCTAATGAGGACTGAATCCAGGGCTTTCTCACAGAGCCACACACTGTGCATCAGCTGTATGGGGTGGGCATGAGTGGGTGATTTCAGTCCAGGCCACTTCTGCCGCTCCAGAAGGCTCAGGCCAGGAGGCACAGGGGTCCTAAAGGAGCTCAGGAAGGAGAAGGGCAAAGGCTCTTTGAGCTTCATTTTCAGTACAAATACAGACCATGGTATTAGGGACTCAGGATCTTTCTGGCCTTTGGGGGCTTTAAGTAGGAGGATTCAGAAAAGTTATCACTGGGGTAAGCAGCTCTTGGGGGCCAGCAGGTCACAGGGACCTCGCTTTCTGACCCTTCCTCCTTGGCTCTTCTTGCACTGTGAAGCAATATTCTCAAAGCCTTGGATTGTTCCCCCAAGAATAAGATTTAGATCAGGAGAGACCAATTAGTTTTACCCTGTTGATGATGTGCTCTTGCCACCCTAATCTGGAGTTTCCGGGGGGCAGGCAGATACAGTGGGTGATAACTCTGCCTCTTCTAGGGACCTCGGTCTCTGTCTCAAGCCAGTCCTAAGGAGGCGGCCCACACACTGGCCTCTCAGACCGTGCCACAGGCACTTCCCATTGATTCATTATGGTCCTAGTATGAATTGCTGAATTTTTATGGTGGTCATCTTAAAACAACAGCTTATCTTCCCAGATAAGCTTCTCTCTCCACTTCTTCTCCACCTCAGCCCAGGGTGCAGTTTCCTTTCACCTTTCCCACCAGCTCAGGGAAAGCCCCAACCAGCTCCTCAGGTATGTCTAAACGTCCTCCTCAAACTCCACCCCTGGCAAAAGGCTATATAAAAGCCTCAGCCTCCCTTTGTTCCAATCCAGAGAATTCCTTATCTTCCCGAGATTCTCTCAGTGTCCTCCAAGATAATAAAGCCCTTTTCTCTTTCTCCTTCTGCCTGTTTCTCTGCTGCAACACCATTGAAAATCTATCATTTTTTGGTGCTGTGACCTGGATCTGTGAGTAGTGTGGCTCCCAGGGCAACCCCTGCCCCAGTTTGGAGCTCCCTCACTGAGCGGCCGGTTGCTAGCTGCATCCAACACGGGCCAATCTCATTCCTCACTCATGAGCCTAGAACTCCGGGGATCTTGCTTATCCTTCCTCTCCTCTCGAAAATCATGAGCTCATAACGGGACCCTCACCCCGCATCTTCCTCAGCCATCCCCACTTCCTCTAGTGAGGACTGATAAAGTGGGTGTTGGCCCCTCTTTCTCATACTCCGCTCTAAAACGTGATGGCTTTTTGGCAGGAAGTGACGTCGGGCTTTTCCCTAATCTTTGGCTAATTTTAATTTAATCAGCACGGGAAATACTGGTTTCCAGCCCCTAAAAGACACCCCATTGGGATGC